TACTAATTGGTTGAATTGCAAATAAATTTATTTTAATAAACTGCTCTTTTATTTTAGATTGGATATCTACAACCGTATTGTCTGCTAATTCTCTTTCTAATTGTTCATACACATCTTCTAACATTCTTATTATTTTTTCTTTATTATTCGATATTTTATTCTTGTTCGCTATTTCTCTACAACTTTTGGTTACCAAAATCTCTAATTGTTTTTTTTTTCCTTTCAGTAGCACAATAACCCATAACCAATAATCAGCTATGCGTCCATTGCTATTGCAATTTTCATTATTGTGAACCTGTTTAGCACTTGATTTCGATATCTTATCACCTCTAAAATCATAAACCATAAATACTAACATTATATTTGTGATAATATAACTTGAGAAAACTTACTAAGTTAAAATATATGAAACTTTCAAATTAAAAAAGAGCTCTTCAAAGATTTGTTCAGTTTGTGTAACTATAATATGATTTTCATATGGAGTTTTTTTTTCTATAAGATAATCTAGATATTTTTTATTTTGGCAAAGAATTCGACTAAAAATTTTAATATTAGTGAAAAAGATAGTTTGTGAATATTGACAATTAATTGGAGAAAACTTATAGCTCATTTAATAATCCAGCTATACATTTTATATAAATATTGTCTACTTGTATTATTTAAGCCCAAAGGTTCTTAGGTATCACAAAAGAAGACTCATGACAGAACTTCCAACTTTTATCCTTATATGTTGTAACAAAAATTTGTACTAGTTTATCTGCTACAGAGAAGACAGTCTCTTTAGTATCAATTTTTCTAAAATACACATATTCATCAGACTTTAAGAGTTTGAATATTGTATCAAGAAGATTTGTGATATTTAAGACACCTATTACACTAGGGGACATCCAATGGAGATAGTTTAAGCTCGTATTAACAAAAGCATTTACAACTTTCCCTATTTTGTATTTATTATCTCTATTTGTCTATTTAATTTTGCTCTGTTAAATATAACAAATTAGCATTATATATAATATTATACTATATTACATTCTTATCAAATCTTATCATCATTTCTTGCATTATTTTAATATTTTTCTGATACTTTTCTTGCTATTTTTTATGCGTTTTGGCTTGATATTTTTTTGAGACAGAATTAAATAACCGATTACACTTTATCCATATAAATATAATAGATTTAGTTAGATAAATTTATAAAATATAAGGTAAAAATGACTATAGTATATATTTTATCAGTATATAAACAAGAAAAGTGAAAAATGTAAAGTTAAACTTTATTAAAAAATATACAAATGTCAAAATAATGCTATTCTCACTTTCATCAGAAAGTAGAGTATATGCAAAAGATATACACAAAGTATTTAAAAACGCAATCATCACTTCCATCAGGAAGTAGAAGATATATAATAGTATACAAGACATTAAGATAATATTATCTCTTGTTCCTTTTAGAAAGTAGAATGTGTGGAAAAAAAAAACATATAAATTATCTAAAGATGACATTATTCTTGCTCCTTTTAGAAAGTAAAGTATGTAAAAAAAAAAAACATATAAATTATCTAAAAACATCATTATCACTCTCGTGAGAAAGTAGAAGGTGTGGTTAAAGTTAAGTTAAACAGTTACTCACACTTTCATATTTATACAAACCATCATAAAAATCTGCGATATGTAAACTAACTTTTTAGAAACTTATTTCAGAAATTTACTTTTTTAACATCTAGATTAAGTGCAATGTCTTTAGCTTGTTTTAAGTTTTTTTGTGCTTCTGTGTTTAAACTATTTATTGCTTCGTTTATACTTCTAGACCATCTGTTAAATGCTTCTGTAGAAGTTGTTAGCAATGCTTCTGACTGAAACTCATGCATTAACTATATCTCGTAATTTAATGTTGATGGGTCTTCTGAATTTCTTAGAAACCAATCAGTATATTTGTAATTAGACATCTTTAATTTTATAAATTTTGATAAAAAAAGACAGACAATGCGTAAAATTTGATATAACACATAAATTTTTGATATAACTGCAATGAAATATTAAATTACATCATATACACCTTATATAGCATACCAAATATGTTACGTACAAATTTGTGCTCTGACAATTTCAAACAGGAGAGACCATTCCGAGTATGCCCCGAGTTTGCAGATCATTACACAAGCGATTTGGAAGCTCAAGTAGATTATCTCATCTTTAAAGCAGGCCAAGTGTTCTAAGTCCTATAAAAAAGCCTATTGTAGAAAATTGTTTAAGAGCATATTCTCAGTTGTAGGCATATTCTCAGTTGTAGGCTTACAAACGTATTCATAATAAGCCTGCAAACTGTTATATAAAATATATTTAAAATAAATAAAGAATTACCTCATTTAAAAAACTTTGAATCGACTTTGTATTTTATGAATTAATTTTAATACAACATTAAATTTCTATTGAGCATAATATATAGTTGCATATTCTCGTTAAATTTTTTTTCCAAAGTTTTTTTTTTTTTTTGCTTACAAAAAAAATAAAAAATAAAAAAAAAATATTAGCAGCATTTAGAAAAACTGCAAAGAAAAATTCCTATCTTTTATAAGCATCTGTGTATTCGTGTAACCACTTTTTTTTAATCACATTAAAATAATCTGCAGTCTAATCCCAGATAGGTAACATCTAAATCCCAATACGTACATATGTACGTGTATACTTTATTTTTGTACGTAACATTATTTAGTCAAAAAAAATGCCAAAATTACTATATATATAGTTATAAATTTTACTGTGTCAATAGCCTTGTATATAAAATTTAAAGTTTAGAACTTTAAACCATCTTTATTTGAATTAGAATTAGGCAACAAATATAGCCAAGATTAGCATAGCAGGCTTTCTCTATGATTGGCTAATTTTTTATAGATCATTTTGTAATCTTCTAAATTTTTATTGGTTAATAAAATCGGATTTTGTGTAACCATATTAGTAATTAAACATAAATTGTTCGTTGAACTTCGATTCTATAACTTTATCGTTATTCTGATAGTGTAAGAAAAGTTATAACAAAATGTCTGCACAAGAAAAACAATATGAAGCCATCTCTAAAACAAGAAAGGAAAAAGAAAAGCTCGCTATTGCAATTTAGAGGGTCACGACAATGTCGCCTGCAATTATGATCTGTATAGTGCTTTGACTGTTACGGATCGAATAGTTATACTAACCTCAAGCCAACACTTAGATTTAGTTAGCAAGACCTTATATCGAAAGCACTATAATAAATATATTGTAAATACAAAAAAAAAAAGACTAATTCTTGCTCTTATCCCAAACATGAAATTTATTTAGCTACAGCTCGAAAAGCAAAAGGAAAAAAATATTGGATTCCAGAATGGTTAATCAGGTTTTTTAATCTACCAAAGGAAGCAGTGATGTGTCAACATTGTCTATATAGAACAGATATTGATCTAGAATACACCAATTCATCTGATTATCTACTACTAAAGGAAAAGATTTTAAAAGAAAACATAAAACGATTTCAAGATAGGTTGTATGTTTTACGTGGCGATATTATTTACTCTGAATCTGAATTCCAGAAATTGGAATCTGCATATCATGAAGTATGTGCAGAGTTTGACGAAACGAAACTAGGTGAGTAAAAAGCTTTTGTTTGTTAATGTATTCATTAATCACTTTTATTTTATTTTTTTTTACTTGTTTTTTTTTTATTTATTTGTCTTTTTTTTTATTTTTATTTTTTATCTTTTTTTAATTTTTATT